TGGTCCAACACGAATGGGATTTTAGAAGCATCCAAATCAGAAAGTGTCGAGTCTTCTAATCCAGGGGTTGAGCAGTTTGGTAACTTAAAATTCAATATTTATAGAGTAACAGTTTGACGATGGCCTAAACATAGAGCCAATCATATACAGGAGCGATCTAGATTTCAAAAGCTACGTGTTTTAGGTTTATAGTGATCCTAAAATGTCTAACTTCGTCCTTTTTAGTTTCTTACAATATTTATTCTTTAATATTGAAAATAAGTTATTTCTACCTTCTATTTCATTTTCTTCTTGTAACTACTCTTATCAATATACTTTTGAATCATATTTGCCCCCACCCGTTAAATTCTTCATCCTAACTTAAAAAATATACATGGCTGACCTGAGTAGATAAAAAATACTCATCTCAAATTAAAATCTACCCGACACATTAATAACCCACTACCCACCCATTTCGAAAAAGAAAAAAAAAACTAAATCCAAACGTAAAAGGGCAAATATGGCCCTTTTCCATTTGATCTATACTTAGGACCCGTTTGGTCATAGATGTTAGCTGTTTTTTTTTCAAAAAGAATTTAAAAATATTGTTTGTTCATGGAATATGATCAATTTTTTTAAATTTTTTTTTTTCAAGTTCCCAAAAACTGGCTAAACTAATTTTTGGGTAAAATTTTCTTCCATTCATAAAATTTTAACTTTTTCTCAAATAAAAGAATTCCAAACATAACTTCAACTTCCAAAAATTATTTTTCAACACAACTTCAAAATCTCTTTTATCAAGTTTCAACCAATTCTATGTCCAAACGCTAGCTCTCTCTCTCTCTCTCTCTCTCTCTCTATATATATATATATATATATATATATATATATATATATATATATATATATATATATATATAAGTCATATTTTTTTGGTACTAATTTTTTATGTTATATTTTACCTCTCTATAATAGATTTTTACCTATAACAACAACATCCATCTTTATAGCAGTACGTTCTGTCACAACCCAATTCTCCCTCCTTAAGAAGTCGTGACGGTACCTAATCTCTACGACTAGGTAAGCCTAACAAAGATGCGAAAATAACAATAAGGGAAGCAAAACTTAACAACTAACTGTAACAGATAACTAAATACCTGATAACAATGCCACTTGGCATTTACAACAACCAACACTCTAATAATACACAGTATTCCCAAAACCCGAAACATCATAAGTCACAAGCTACAAGAGGAAAACTAGTATCTCTATACACTAGAGTCTAATAAAAAAAATAAGGAAGGTAAATGACATAAGAGGGAATGGAGGGGGACTCCGAGATCTGCGGACGCGGCAGATATACCTTGAAGTCTCCGTACAGCAGCAAGCACTCTCAGCTAGTAGCGGGGCTGATAAGAAGTATTTGGATCTGCACACAAAACATGTGGAGAAGAGTAGCATGAGTACACCACAACGATACCCAATAAGTGCCAAGCCTAACCTCAGTAGAGTAGTGACGAGGTCAGGTCCGAGCCCTACTGGTATATAATAATAAGACAGATGCTATAATAAACATGAAGTAAAAACGAAAAAAATAACAACAAGTATTCACACAACAATAACAACATCGCACAATGATATAACAACAGAGGCGCTCCCGAGATACCATCTCGTAGTTCCAAAAGTAAATATACAAGGAGAACTCCCGAGGTACCGCCTCGTAGTCTCAAAAGTAAATATGCAGGGAGAACTCCCGAGGAACCGCCTCGTAGTCTCAAACGTAAATGGGCAGGGAGAACTCCCGAGGAACCGCCTCGTAGTCTCAAAAGTAAATGTGCAGGGAGAACTCCCGAAGAACCGCCTCGCAGTCTCAAAAGTAAACACACAGCTCAAACCGATAAATACAACAGTTAACAGCAATATTTCTATAGTTAATACTGATAAAGAACAAGGAAAACAGGAAATCAACTAGGCATGCTTCACAGAGTTCAAATAAGTAGTTAAAGCACGTAGACATGCGATATTAGACTAACAAGGATAACTACACAGGTTGGTATAATGCAATTAAGAATGAAAAGCAGATTACTACTCAGAAAAATGGTATAACCCAAATAAAAAGGAAAACATGCTGCTACTCAGTAAAATCAATTTTTACAACAAATAGCCCGTGTACGTACTCGTCACCTCGCGTACACGACGCTCACATATCACAACAGTACCAAATCCTAAGGGGATTT